GATCGATCAGCAATAGAGCTGCATTCTTGCATGCAGAGAGTCCGAGGATCCAACCCTGTTATCTTTTTCTGCAGCCTCGCAGGGCAGTAACCAGTCCGAATACTCTCCCCCCTCCAATTTTGCCCTCAGTGTCCAACTTGGGGCTCATCACTTTGGGCATTCTTGGAGGGGAGGAACTGTTTTGGATTGCTAGCTATTGGGGGGGGGGACATGCAGATCTGCCCTCACAGAGGAGGGAGAGCTTGTACCTGAATAAAACTTGGTCCCCACTGTAGCTACAGGCCTGCCTGTGAGTCTCCTGCACACACAGCAAATATGGACTTGGGAGGAGGAGGAACCAGACCGCTTGGAAGGGTTATCTGGAAGCTCAGCCGGGGGGGGGGGTCATCTGTCCTGGCGGAGCAGATCCCCACTGGCCCCAGCCTGCTGGACCAGGCCAGGGAGCAGAGCAGCGAGCACTTGGGGGGGCACAGCTCCCAACAGGCAGGGAGCTGGCATCCTTGGAGCTCCAGGGGGTGGGGTGGAGCCCCTGCTGGGCACCCAGAAGGACTTGGGCTCAGTCCTTGGTGTTGCCAGGATGGGGTGGGGGATGATGATTGATGATTATTATTATTATTTGGCTGTCTGTGTAGTATATCCAGGAGATCCTAAGATTGTCTGGCAGGCAGAAGTTCTAGCTCTTTTAGCCTTAAGCACCACTAGATGGCGAGTGTCAGGTAGCCCTGTCATAGATCTGGAATGTGGAGGGGTGCCCTCCTCCTTGTTCTCAGCTCTTCCCTGTCCTGCTTCTGTGTGCCAATTCATACTTGACTTTGCTGTCTCCAGCTGCAATTAACTCAGCTGGGAAAGTTAACGGCTTTTGCGCTTTGCCCGCTTGCCCGCTTGCTTTTGCCCGCGTGCGTGAACTATAATCATTGGCTTGCACTCATAGGGGGGTTGTTCGATTTTACTATAAGTCAGAGGCCCGTATACTGACGGCCATTCCTGACACAATCTGTACACGTGTTCTTTAATACTGGAAACACTGATAAACAGTTATCTTCTTCTGAAGCCCTGTGTGGTGTAGCCTGATTGAGGAGCCTGACAGCGGGCTGGATTTGTTTTTACGGCAAGAGCTGTTTCAGAGGCGGTTTGCCATTGCCTGCCTCTGTGTCACGACCCTGGTATTCCTTGGAGGTCGGGCTATCTGGGTCTGGGCTGCTGGGGGGAACCCTGATCTGACTGGGCTGCCCTGATCTGACTGGGCATGAGGCCCTGTGGCATGTTTCCACCAGTGTTCCCTCTAAGCTGAGTTAGTGTGAGCTAGCTCACAGCTTTTTAGCCTCCGGCTCACACATTTTTGCCTTCGCTCAGGAAGGAGGGCTCCAGAGCAAACTAATTGATGCAGTAGCCACATTGTTTGCTCACAACTTTAATGCCAGTAGCTCACAAAGTAGAATTTTTGCTCACAAGACTCCACAGCTTAGAGGGAACATTGGTTTCCACCCAGACTTCTTTGGCACAAGGGGTCCCACGGGGGGGGGGGAGAAGCCATCGGGAACCCCAAGTGTGGGGGGGGATAATGAGCAGCCCAAGAAACAAGACGCTGACCAAAGGTTGGGAGGGACTCGGGGGGAGGCTCTTGCGAGGGCCCCGGAAAAGAGCCCAGGAGGCTAGGGTGCCTCGCCGGGGTCAAGACAGAAGTGCGGATGCCCAGCGGCGACTCACGGCGGGCTGCGATCACCCAGACTAAGTAGACCCAGATGGTCAGCTGTGTTGGTCTGAAGCAGGAGACCAAATTTAGAGTCCAGCGAACCCAGGCTCCTTCATAAATCCAGTTGGGCATTAAGGGTTATCAACAGGCCTGGAGAAGAGTGTTCTGACCCTTTACTAGAGGGGAAATTTCTTCTTTCTCTACTCAGTTGCCAACTGAAGGTTTTCATGGCATGGGGGGAAATAACATCCCATTCGGCCTTGGCTGAAGGGACAGAAGACGCTTCTCCACAGCTGTTGCCCACCCTGTCTCTTCCTTTGATCACATGATGCTGCCTTGAACTGGATCAGACCATGTGTCCATCAAGATCCATCTTGTCTACTCAGACTGGCAGCGGCTCTCCAGGGTCTCGGGAGGAGGTCTTTCCCGTCACCTCCTGCCTGGTCTTTTCCACTGGAGGCGCTGCTGGGGATTGAACCTGGGAACTTTTGAACACCAAGCTGATGCTTTGCCAGTGACCCAAAACCCAGGGGGCCATCAGGAAGTCCACCGGGTTTGATTCCCCACTCGTCCACTTGAAGCCAGCAGGGTGACCTTGGGTCAGTCACCGTTCTCTCAGAGCTCTTTCAGCCTCTCTTGCCTCACAGGGTGTCTGTTGTGGGGAGACGAAGGGGAGGCAACTGTAAGCTGCTCTGGGACTCCTCCGGGTGGTGAAGGGTGGGGTATAAAACCAACTCCTCCTTTTCTTGTTCCACTCTTTTGTCAATTCCTGAAGATTTTCAAGTGCAGCCCAGTCTAGGGAGGGCAGGGTTTGTAGAGGGAAGGGGAATAAGGTGCGCGTAATGTCCCCTTCTCCTGCCAACCTAGCCGTTGGAAAGCAAGAAATTGCAAGTAGATAAATAGGTACCACTTAGGTGGGAAGGTAACAGTGTTCCGTGCGCCTTGGTGTTTAGTCACGCCGGCCACATGACCACAGAAACGTCTTCGGACAGCGCTGGCTCTTCAGCTTGGAAACGGAGATGAGCACCGCAACCCTAGAGTCGGATTCGACTGGCTTTCGAGCAAGGGAACCTTTACCTTTAATGTCCCCTTCCCCTGCAACAGAGCTGTTTCCTCCGGAGGAATTGATCTCTGTGGTCTGGAGGACCTCGAATTTCCACACCTGAAGAACTGCCACCCTGAACGGAGAAGCTCACTCAGAAGTCAAACTGCCCTTAAATATTGTGAGTCAAGCGAGGGGGCTCACCTCTTTTCTATGGGGATTAAAAACAATGTATCCATCTGTGGCGAGCATAACTCACCAGAAAACAAAGTTAGGACTCTCAAAATCGGCCAGCAGCTCCAGTACAGCGGTGGGACTTCCAGTGCCAAACAGTGAGGGAACTGGAACCTTCTGGCCCTCGCAATCCCCAGAACCCCCACCCCACATTTGCGCTTTGGAAGCTATGGCTGGCAGGTATAACTCACCCCTAAATAAAAGTCGAAGCCTCAAAATTGGCCTCTAGCTCCAAGATGAAGATGGGAGATGGTGGGACACCTTAGGCCAAGGGACGTCCCCTTAGTAAGGTAATAAATGCCACGTAAGTCTTCTCTTCAGGGAGTCAGGATTGTCTTCCCACCTTGTACGCAGCCACAAAGGTGTCTTTGCTGACACACAATATGCGGGGAAGGCCTGGCGGCATCTTTGTGGCCCCACCCACCCATATTTTTGCTTCTGCAACATCCAGGCTCTGACACAAAGCAATAAGACTCAGGAGCCTCTCAACAATACAAAGGTCCCATTTATTCCTTTTCCAGAAAAGTAATCATACAGAAACACTGGGGAGGGCTATCGCCTGGAGAACAGTGTTCCCTCTAAGCCAGGGGTGTTGAACTCATTTGTTATGAGGGCCGGATATGACATAAATGAGATCTTGTTGGGCTTGGCCAACTGTGTCATAAAATGTAATGCCAGGTAGCAGAAATATAAACTTTATAAAGGATACAAACAGAATTAAAGATTTTTTTAAACTTTAAATAAAACATGCTTAAAACACTAGCACTCTCGCAATATTTTGTCTATTTAACAGTGTCTGATAACTGACACTTCTTGCTCTGAATTATTGCATCACAATGTCTGTGCTGTTGCAATCCTGAGTATGCCATTCAGGTGTGTATCTGTAAGCTGCAAACCAACTTTTGATTTACTTACATTCATTACAGAAATCTCATGCTCAGTGTTCCTAGCCTAGGATCCAGGGGAAAACATGAAATGGCTGGGCATTTTGTAAATAAGTTGCTTCATGTGCTGGTCAAGAACATGCAAAGGCATCCTGAGACATGTGTCTGTCTACAAAACTATAGTCTTCCTCAGAGAAATAGCTACAACTTCCTACAAAGGAAATGTGCTGGGTGAACTTGGTCTGAACACACACTCTCAGTCTAACCCACCTCACTGGCTTGTTGTTATTCCTCTAAAGAGGTTCACATTGCTTTCTTACTGAGAGAGACTGGATCAGGAGGGCATGAATACAGTGAAAAGGGGGAGGGAACCCAGTTGCACCCAGGAGAGCCCTGGGATAAGGAGCCCAACAAAACACACACACTGTAGCAAGGCACACAAAAGCTTATACCTCAAACAAAACTTTTTGGTCCCAAAGGTGCCTGGTATTTCTCCCGTGCAATTGAAGCAGCCCTGCAAAGCAAGCTCTCCCTCGTTTCCTCCCTCCCTCCCTTCAGGGAGGAGCCTCAGCCAGGGGAAGGGAAATAAGGCTTCCCTTTGTCTCCTGCAGCCTGGCCAGGAAGCAAGCTCTCCCTTGTTCCCTCCCTCCTCACGGGAGGAGGATGGGGAGGAGCCTCAGCCAATTCTTTACCAGACTCTCTCAATCACACAGGAGAGGCTTTCCATCTTTCTCTCCTGTGCGATTGAGAGAGACTGGTAAAGCAAGCTGTGTCATGGCAGCAGCAAGAGAACTGGAAAAGGAAGTAAGAAACAGCCAGGGCCTTGCAGGCTGGATTGGGACTCTCCGAGGGCCTGATCCGGCTCATGTTTGACACCCCTGCTCTAAGCTGAGTTACTGTGAGCTAGCTTGCAGTTTTTTAGCCTCTGGGTCTCCTTCCTAACAAACTGCCAACAGTGAGATGCAAGACATCTTAATAGTCTAATGCCCAGAACCACAGCAGGCCCTCTCCAGATCCCTGATACGATAGAAATCACATGGCCAACATGGTCTACTCAGCAGTCCTAGCAGGCTCTTCTCAGATTCTCTGGAACCAAAACTAGGCCGAGAGAACCCCTCCCCCCTCGACAAACACATCGAAAGTGGGATGAGACAGACAGCATCTCTCTGCAAATCCCCAACTGCATGCCCAGGCTGGAGAGTTTTAAGGACCAGAGGGGAGTCCCTTCCTGGAGCACTGGGAATGGAAAATGCATGGGGCCATGAATGGCAAGGCAAGAAAACAAGGTCTCACGGATCATAGTAAAAATGGAAGGGGCCTATTTGGGGCTGGAGCTAGAAGTATTGTGGGGGTCTGTCTTTTGGGGAGGCATGGCCAAGGGGGGGACACTCTGACCCCCTCTCTGGCTGCCATCTGGCTGGGCCCCTGAAGGGCGATTCCATCATGGGTCCCATATCGATGGGGGGGGCACACGGAAGGCTGCTGGGGTTCAGGAAACTGCCCCCCATTTCTCCCTCCAGGAGGAAAGGCTCTGCCAAGAAAGGAGCGAAGAAGGATGCAGTTCCAGAAAGAGGCAGGCGGAGATCTCGACACGAAGGGAGCGGCGCCTCGATTACCTGGAATGGGAAGGAGAACAGAGCATCTGTGAGAATATGCCTGGCCAAAGACATTCCCCAAAGAGGACCCCCCCCCAGCA